AGAGTTGCCTTCCACCAGTCCATGTATATAGGAGGATTAAGCTAGTTTTATTGGCATGAGCCATGCTGCTGCAACACTATAGTAGAACTGCTTTGGTGTGAAAGAAATCCATGTATTATTTTAGCAAACAGATGCTTATGATGACTTTTGGTGTTGCATAGCTGCTTTCATTCAGGCACTTGTTAAAATTATGGCTGGCTACTTGCTGCTAGAACCTGTCTTAATGTAACCACAGCTTTCTGCTGCTGGTTCTCCAAATGCCTGCAGTTGGAGAAATAGCAGACTCTTCGTCAGCTTTGTTCAACTCCTCTCCTGTCTTGCCTCCCAGTACCCTTTTGCTTGGCTGTAGAAGTGCTGGGCTACATCAGGTCCTGGAGCTAGTCAGTTTAATTTGGTGGCCTAGCCCTGAATTTTACAGTAGAGACTGCCTGTACTGGATGGGGACATCGCCTGTTTGAAAAAATGACCTAGAAAAAAAGGTTAATTAAATAATCCTTTTCATTTTATTGTAATAGTTTGGGAATTGTTTCTCTGAGAAACAGGAAAAAATACTTTTCCTTAAATTCTGAGAGTCAGAAACTGTCTTCATTTCACTGTTTCTGTATCACAGAAACAGAATGGTTTAGGTTGGAAGGGACCTTAAAGAACATCTAGTTCCAACCCCCCTGCCATGGGCAGGGACACCTCCCACTAGAGCAGGTTGCTCCAGGACTCATACAGCCTGGTCTTGAACATTTCCATCCACAACTTCTCTGGGCAACCTTTTCCAGTGCCTCACCACCCTCACAGAAGATGATTTCTTCCTAATATCTAATCTAAATCTACCTTCTTTCAGTTTAAAACCATTACCCTTTGTCCTATCGCTCTACTCTCTGATCAAGAGTCCCTCCCCATCTCTCCTGTAGGCCCCCTTCAGGTACTGGAAGGCCGCTATAAGGTCTCCCCAGGGCCTTCTTTTCTCCAGGCTGCACAACTCCAACTCTCTCAGCCTGTCCTCACAGGAGAGGTGCTCCAGCCCTCTGATCATCTTCATGACCCTCCTCTGGACCCACTTCAACAGGTCCATGTTCTTCTTGTGCTGAAGCCTCCAGAGCTGGATGCAGTACTGCAGGTGGGGTCTCACCAGAGTGAAGCAGAGGGGTAGAATCACCTCCCTGGACCTTCAGGTTCCTTAGATGGTCTTGAACCTGATCTTTTACTATAGTGAGCGGTTCTTCATTCTCACAGCCCCTGTTTTTGCCTTCTGCAGCTTGGGTGGTGTGGTTTGAGCCCTTGCTGGTGAAGTCCGAGACAAAAAAGTCATCAGTACCTCAGCCTTCTCTGTATCCTGCGTGATCAGGTCTCCTTTCTCCTTCCAGAGAATGCCTGTGGCTTCTCTAGTCTTCCCTTTATCTCTGACATACAGAAGTTTTTCTTGTTGTCCTTGATGTTCCTGGCCAGGTTCAATTCTGTCTGGGCTTTAGTTTGCCTAATCTGGTTCGTGGCCACTCAGACAGTTTCTCTGTTTTCCGCCCAGTCTACCTGTCCTTGCTTCCACCCTCCATAGGCCTCCTTTTTGCTTTTGAGTTTGTTCAGGAGCTCCTTGTTCATCCATGCAGGCCTCCTGGCTTTTTTTCTGGACTTCTATCTTGGGAGACACCACTCCTGAGCTTGAAGCAGGTGACCCTTGAATATTAACCAGCTTCCTTGGGCCCCTCTCCCCTCCAGTACTTTTTCACATTACCCTGCCAAGCAGGACCCTTAAGAGGCCAAAGTCTGCTCTCCTGAAGTCCAGGGTAGTGAGCTTGCTGCATACCCTCCTTGCTGCCCTAAGGATTTTGAATTCTGTCATCTCGTGATCACTGCAGCCGAGGCTACCCTTGAGCTTGACATTCTCCACTAGCCCCTCCTTGTTGGTAAGGACAAAGTCCAGAATGTCTCCTCTCCTTGTTGGCTTCTCTCCGATTTTGAGAAGAAATGTCATCAGCACATTCCAAAAACTTCCTGAATTTCTTGTGCCTCACTGTGTTGTCGTTCCAACAGATATAGGGGTGGTTGAAGTCTCCCATGAGGGCCAGGATCTGTGAATGTGAGGCTTCTCCTATCTGTCTATAGAGGGCGTCATCTGCTCCATCGTCCTGGTCAGGTGGTCTGTAGCATAATATCAACTGCCCCTGTACTCCCTTTAATCTTAACCCATAAACTCTCCATTGGGTCTTCATCCATCGCCAGGTGGAGCTCCATGCACTCCAGCTGGTCACTGACATAGAGGGCAACACTACCTCCTCATGTCTCCTGCCTGTCCTTCCTGAAGAGTCTGTATTCCTCCATTCCAACACTGCAATCACAGGATTTATCCCACCATGTCTCTTTGATGCCAGTGAGATTGTAGCCCTGGAGGTGTGCGCATGTCTCTGACTTCTCTTGCTTGTTTCCCATGCCACGTGTATTTGCATTTGCCTTAAAGCTTAGCTGAAATCCAGGACTAACTGGATAAAAACTGTGGTGTGGTTATTCCTCGGTTCACAATCAATCCTGTGTCCTGTAATTAAGCTGGAATGATTTGTGGTATATGGACCTAAAATGAATCAGAAGTTGCTGACCTGACACCGAACCCACTCATACTTCTGTATAATTAGGCAGACAACGAAGCTTACATCATGCTGACTTCAAAACTGGTGAGCTTGGTTGGGTATCCGACGCATACCTCTCCATTTATAGCATTTTGCAGCACGTTTGTGTTAAGATTTTCTTTTCTTTGGTCTCCCCCAAATACTGCTTCCCCCCACCCCACCCCCCAAAGCACAAACAGCTGTGGTAGAAGTTTGACACATTGTGCATCTGAGGACCTATGCAGATGGACAGACTGCCTAGTTCATCCTAGTGCTGCTGGGAGGCCATGCGGGGTATGCTACAGCCCTGCTCCAGTGGGTAATTGTATGAATTTGGGCATACACTGTAGGTCCAGTACCTTCTGCTGGTGTCCCCATTTTCTTTGTGTGTGCACGGGCAGTTTCCCTCCCCGCTCCTGGAGTTAAAAAAAGCACAAAACAGGTTGCTGAAAAAGCAGAAGATCGCTATTGCTAAAATAATTCATGCAATGTGGTCCCTGAGCTGCTGTTTGTCCAGGGGCAGCTCTCTGCTGACCAAGAGGGTGCTGTGGGCCATCTAACTCGTTCTGGTCACTGCCCTTCCCAAGGTATGGACAAGAGTATGTAGCACGGGCGCTGTTACCTGGTTAAAGGTGGGAGCAACGCAGGGATATTGCTAGGTGAGTTATCCTGGAGGCTGCCGAGTGAGAAACTTGCTTCATACAAAAGGGACTGAAAAATAGGCCTTGCTATCTTGACTGAGATATCTTGGGTGCTTTACATATCACTTTATTTCCCTGTAGACATCTGAAATCTCTGGAGAAGTGTTTTGTCTACCAAAATTTACAAATGTCAGACTGGATCAGTATACATGATTTTCATGCAGTCTGTATTTCTTCAATATTTTTATACTATCACATAGGGCAGGAGCATTGTCTTATAGTGACAATAAGACTGACATGAAGAAAGGGACACTGAGAATTTAGAGAATTGGCAGTTACAATGTCTGTAACAGAAACAGAATGGAGTTTCATAAATGTGAATTTCCAGAAATTAGTATCTGATAGGGAGCAGCTTTTGGCTTGTTAAGCATTACTTATTATTTAATCCACACAGGATCTGTCTTATCAGGAGGTATGTACTTAGCATGGCAACATTGTTTTGTGTGGCAAGTGCTTTATAAATTTTGAAGAAATGTCTTCTGTTATTTTATGTAGTGACAGTGTAGGAGAAAGTGAATACATATTAGATGTCTGGGTCCTAGTCAGTCTAGTGAGATTGAGGGTGGCTGTACACAGTGTTTTGTTTTCCTCTCTTGGCTCTGTGCTAAAACCTAAACATACTAGCTTACAGTAACCATCTCATACTATTGTACTTATTTGCTCATTGACCTAGCATGATGCAATGCAATCATACACTTGTTTGAAATCCCTGTGCACAGTACAGTAATAATTTCAATGCTGAAGTATAAGATTTTATTATCCTTAATTTAGTGTGAGTAATTGGAAGCAAAGGCTTTCTTTGGGTATACTAATAAATGGGATTCCAATGTCCAGGGAATAAAAGGGTCACTAACCTTTGAACCACCAGGAACATTTAACATCAAGATGGAATATATGCAGCACAGAGTTGTCTGAAAAGACATCAAACTCACCTCTGTATTGTTTTAGCATACTGGTCATGGTGAAGTTTTTTGTTGGATTATGTTTCTCTATAAAATTTTAAAATTTAATGCATTGTTTTGTTTGGCTGAATGTGCTGTGCTTTTTTGGTATGTTCATAGACAAAGAATTAGCCAGAGTCAGTTACACCAAAATGACCAATGACTTTGAGATCGTCTAGTCCAACCCCTCTGCCAAGGGCAGGGTTATCTTTCACTAGGTCAGGCTGCTTGAAGCACCATCCAACCTGACTTTGAATGCAACATCCACAACTTCTCTGGGCAACCTGTTCCAGTGCCTCACCACCCTTATCGTAAAGAATTTTTTTCATATGTCCATTTTAACAGTTCGTTGACACATCTGTAGAAGGAAGGTTGGCTATATGGGTTTACTGTTTACAAGCATACCAACACTTGCTGTAGTGCCTCGAGAGAGGGACAAGCCCTGGTGTCCCACTGGTCACTAGTGGCCATGCTGCGGAGATGTGTTAGCTGTGCAGAAGTGTACTGAACACCGTGGCAGCACTGGAAGCAGCCAGGTAGCTGTAGCATGAGCTCTGACAAGCCACCCAGTTCTGATTTTAGAAACTGCCTTCATGTTAGGAGGAAGTTTCCGCATGAAAAGCTTTTGATATCTACTGTGAACTCATCAGTGGAAATAACCTCCAAGAAGGAAAGGGCTTGGATGGCGATACAGTAAACATTCTTGTTTCTGTAGTACTTCTTTATGGTTTACAGGAGACATTGATTTTTGTCTTTCAACGTTTCAGGAAGCATTCTCTTCAAGTGTATGTCTTCAGAGGCTGACAGAATTACAGAGCAGCAGGAGAAAGTTCTGTCAATCCTCGAGGAAAAGTTTCCGGATCTTCCCCCACGAGAGGAAATTATCTCTGCTCTCCAGGAGACTCAGTTTAACCCACAAGGTAGTGCAACACGCTTCCATTTTTCAGACCTTTTACAAATTTAGTTGTGTAACTGTATCCAAATATATTGGCTCATTGTGTGTGGTGAAAATAGTTGCAGCATGCTATCTTCATTGACACTTACATATATTATATTTAATTTTAAATTAAGTGGCTTACATTCTCAATAATGGAATTGTGATTTCTCTGGAGGAGCTACTGAAAATAATCTTGTATTGCTTTTACAGATAAAGTAAATATGAATTATTTCTTTTTTTTTTTTTACAAGTGTATGCTAGTCAAGAATTTTTGTTGATGAAGTATAGGGGCGTAATCAATGTGATAGCCCATGTGCAGAAATTGTGCTGCAATTGCCTACATGGTGTGGGAGTGGATTCTGAACCTTCCCAAATTTATTGAGGGCTGTGTACAGGTGAAGTGAATTTGACTTCAGACTAAGATTAAGGAAGCAGTGGGGAAATTGCAATTCTTTCATTTCCTTCTTTGAGAAATAGCTGAACACAGTTGTAATTTTTTCAGCGATCAAAAGTGGGAATGTTTGAACCCAAAATTTGGTAGCAAGCTTTTGAAGGGATGCTCTGAAAGCCTGAAGAAAATTCTTGCAATAACTCTTAAACTTTTTACTGTCTTTGTTAAGTGGCATTTGCTACCAAATTGTTATCAGTGAGTATTGAATTACTGAGATCTTTCTTTGTTAGGTATATCAGGTGTGCAGACTCATAGTCTTTTTTTTTTTTTTTGCCATTCCTTATCTGAGCATCTGCAGAATTCTCTCGTCTAAATTCAGACTGTCAGCCTGAGATGGCTGCCCTGACTGATAGTTAAGGCTAGTTAAGGTTGCAAGCTAAATTAGTTCAGGGCTATAAATCTTGACATAGTTCCCTGAAGTTCCTCCAGACTTAGTCAAGGAATCATAGTTCAGAAATGAACTGAATGCAGCCTGGATTGGAGAGACCCAGTGAAAATGGCTTTTATGGACTTCACTTCTTAGTTCTGCCAGTTGCCTGGGAAGATGGTTTAGTAAGGTTTGTCATGTACTTGGCACATGAAGTGTACCCTAATAACCAACGCAAAACTTGGACAAGTGGATATAACGGATTCAGTCTGCATGGCACTGGTTGCCAGTAATTTTTATACTCGTCTGCACATGAGGAGATCACTCTCACTCTTTTTTTTGTCTCATACCTACTGTTTGCTGTGTATTACAAGGTACATATTTAGCACTGCATATATACATGTGGCATTTGTATTTGTAAGATGCTGTTGAGTTTCTGAAGTCTTTTGGAGACACTAACGTCTGTTGAATATTTTATGTTATGTACCTGTTATTTTGGGCAGTATTAGGACAATTCAGCAAAAAAGTTCTCTCTTTCATGGAGAAATAACGATTTATTGGCTTGAATTCATGAATTCATTTGCTATTTCAGGGCAGATGCATAAATATAATAAATATGTGAACATTAGCCAGTTCATCTTGTCTTTAGATTTAATGCAGTAGCTGGACTCCATACAGAAACACTAATGAGAGGATTCATTTCTTTGGCTTAAGTTGGTATTTGGCTCCCTCTTAAAAATCAGTCATGCAAACACTTTTTGGATGTTATGCTGCTAAACTTTAGAAGTCTGTGGGCTTTTTCATTGCCACCCTGCACTGAAGTAAGTGGCTTGCAGCTTTCTTTAATAGGCACTTGGCTGTCATGTCTGTATTTTTGATTGTGTGATATGATCATGTTCTTGTACCTAATATATATTTGTTTTGAGAATCTTTACAGCATTTTAGACAGATATCTCCCATTAGAGAAACTTATTTTCAATACATGGTACTTAAGCACATCAACATGTCTAGTTGCAGTGTGAAGCAATTCCAATTTTACACTGTTGGTTTTGATCATAATATGTACTTTTATTTCTGTGGTACATAAATATATAGTTGCTTCATTCACCATTTGATGTACATAACCAAAATCAATTTATGAGGAACATCAGAAAGGTAGAATGACTTTGTGTTTACAGAATATCATAAGTGCTTTGCTTCTGAATATTTTATAAATACCATATATGCTTTTCAATATATTACTCATTCCAGAAGTGTTTCATATTAGTGATTTCATAGCAGACCGTAGGAATGGTCTGTCTATACATTTATCATTAACTGGAATTCAGTTTGCTTAAAAAATGTAAGCGTTCACACAAATTCATTGCAGGAGACTTAATTCTTCATCCTTTGCTTCCCCCCTGCTTTAAACCCTTCCTTGCATTAGAAATCCCTCTAGAAACATTAAGCATTGAAATATTAATGTTGGGCTTAAATTTTCTCATAGGATGGCCTGAAGTACATAAGGCTCAACATTAAGGTCTAAGTTGTTTGTTTTTTTTTTTTTAATTTATGCTGCTGCTTCTGATCAGCTATAGGTACTTGTAGGTATTGAAATTCCTTTCTCTTCTCCAACAGGTGTAAGCATTGAGGAGATTATGCTGAAAGATCTCAAGGAGATTTCAGATGGAGAAATCAAAGTGGCAGTTAGCACTGTGTTTATGACACTGGAGGTAAGGGGAAACTTAAACAACGTAGTTGCTAAATAGCCCTGTTGCATACTCAGATGGTTATTTAACAAGAATAATTTGTGTTATGGATTCCAGTAGCTATCTGCCTTGACCTGAAGTAATATATAAACGTTACTGGGTATGATGCAAAAAATATTAATGTTTAGATCACTGAACAAGTATGACATGGTGGTATTACTTCTGATTGAAGTGTGCATCCTCATATACTGGTTGTTAATAAAACAAACTAGATTGAAGAAAATCTCAACAACAAATATTTTTTACATAGTATATATTTGTAATTTATGATCTCACTGTTTGCCTGAAGGTCACCCATACAAAAATATTTGACGTGCAAAAGAAGTTGTCATCTTCTACTTCTGCATTTTACTTTAATCAAAACTCAAATGGCACTAAAAAAAATCACTTGAATAGTTCTTCCTTACGTATATCGTGTGAGATTTCTTACAATATGTTTTTGTGTTGCATTTTACAAAAATCAGGTGCTTCTGTGATTGAAGAAGTTTGTGGTGAAATCCAGCTAATACTTATCCATAGATTTCTGTTTGTGTACAAAAATATACAATGTTAATCAGGTAGCAAAGCTTCAAGAACTGAAGCAGAATCTTTTAGTTTCTAGGTTAATTTCTTAGTGTCAAGTCATCTTTACCAGCCACCAAACCTGCATTGCTTTATGAACCATGATTTTGCTCCTGAAAATTATGCCAAGGTTGGGAGAAAAGGGGATGGGGAAATGACTATTGTAAGATAAATCCCCAAAAGACTATTGTAAGATAAATCCCCAAAAGAGGAAATAGGATTTTTAAAAATTCTTAATAAAACCTTCCTCTTCTTTTGTTTTAAATATATCTCTTTTATTCTGTCAGTTTCGGTGACTTGTGGATGCACAGGGGTAGAAATTAGGAAATAGCTTTAGCATTGCATTTTCTTTTTATTTGTTTTCATTTTAATCTTGTTTAATAGACTATGTATAATGCAGGCTTTGTGCTTCACAGATCTAAACTCCAGCTAAATGTGGCTGAACTGATCTTTACCACTCCACGTACTCAAATTAATCATAACCTAAAACTTGTCTTCCTTTTGGCTGCAACTCACAAATTGAATTTGGCAACAGGAGGTTTTCATAGTCCTAAAAGCAGACAAATTTTCAAAATTTTCTAGTGATTGTGTAACATTTGATGCTGACATACTTTGTTCAAAGAATGTCAAGACATGTCAAGCAATAAATGTTTTGTAATTGTTTTTCTTAGGACATGTCTAGCGGCTATTGTGGAAGAAAAAGGAGAGCCAGTTGCATGTAAAAAAACCAAACTAATCAGTGTTTTACTGATGTTACCTGGTTTTTAATACCAACCTACTATGTAATTTTGTTACTAGCATTTTTAATGTTATTTTCTGGAAGTTACAGGTATATCTCTTAGCATTTTGCTTTCTGTTGTTCTGCTGTGAATAGTTTGTTTCAGAAAGGGCTAGTTTTTCAGGCACATAACTGCTTTTTTTCTAGGGACAGTGTTTACAAAGTCAGGTTTGTACTGAAAGGACTCTTAATTTCACAGTTGGGGTGGAGATCAGTTTTGAGTTTGCTGCATACTGCCCTTTGTTCAAACATTTTCTGAACTCCCTGATTCACAGTGCTTGACCAGCACAAGACCTTTTTTACTTGCTCTTATTAGAGCCAGGGATGATATGGACTTGTATGATGTAAAAGGAGGTAAAAACATTCTGCAGTAGCAAACTTCACCCAATATCAGAAACATAATACACATAAGGGGATATAGACAAAATTTTCCAGGCCTGTCTGTCTATTCAGTTTAGAATTCTGTTATGGACTCAGAATACACAAACTTTAATGACTTCAGGATTTTCACAGCAATAATAAGGGAAATTTGTTTTTCATCCTTAAAGTACTCTACAGACGTTAGCTGCTTAAACATTAGGGGAACATGAAGAACAGTCTTGGCTTTGCTGCAGGTGTTGAATCTCTAATGTGTTTGCTTCTTCAGAAATCTCACAAGGTCAATTTTTAATTTTATTTTATTTTTTAAATTCAACAGGTATGCAAAAATATCTTACATTAAAATGCTCTCTGTAGGCTTGATTATTTTCCTTGGTTCAGTGGTCTACCATGTAGATGATACTGCTAAGAACAAAGATGATGATTATAGGATTACACTTGGGTAGAGTAAGCTGTTCACAAGCGTGCATCCCCTGCTGCGTTGGATTCGTATTACGGAGAGCGAAAGTGTTGCAGCTCAACACTCAAGCTCTGATTTCAGACAGAGTTTCACAATAGTAAAGACAGAGATCAGTAAGTCTGATATTCTAACAAACGTCACACCTCAGTAGCACATACTCAAATGATTCTAAGCTTTCCTTAATTCTGCTTTTATGGCAAGTTTTACAGATCTTTATTGAAAGTAGATTCCAAAAAAAAATATCTATTTTCTTGAGAGGATGGATGCTCATTTTAGCAGTGTCTTGACCTGCAGCTAAGTTCCTTTCCCTTCTCTACTGCTGATTTCCTATGTCAAATAAATAAATTGTTTCCTCAGTTTCCTCTCTGTAGATGAGGAAATCAATATATTATTTTATAAATGTGCCATGAATTTAAATTAATTGAAGCTTGTACTAGATATGTTGCTATGAACCCTATTTCTATTACTATTGATACAGATTTTGCAGTAACTATTGAAATGTTTTCTAAGTTCTGCACTTCATAAGGAAGGAAATGATGGTAACTAGTAAGTCACCACTTGTGAGTTAATACTCATAATTACTTAAAAATACTATTGCACATCAGTACTCAGACACGTGGGACATGCAGGGAGACTCCCACTCTCAAGTTTCTCACGAAATAAAACGTGAATGCAAAAACAGTACTGCAATGATCTCAGTGCTTTATTTGTATGTACCTATCGATATCAATCAACAGTGTGATTTACATTCATTGTCTGTTGGCTTGCTAGTTGCCAACTGACTGATTTTGAAGTGTCTTGTTAAAAGTGAGCCTTGCAGATATTAAAGGAGAAGATAGTGTTGTCATAAGCGATAAAGGCAGGGAAGGCATTTTTTTGTGGATGCATTTAGGTTTCCATGATAGTCTGTATGCAGCTTTGCATTTGAGAAAACTGCCTTTGGATCTGGGCTTCCCCGATTTAGGTGGCGTTAAAGCTGTGAGTTGAAATCAGCCATGTGTCCAGTGTCTCACTGCCAGACTCTGCACTACTTGGATTTCACAGGCATGGCAGTATGTCTTTTCAAGAGTGACAGAGAAAAGCGTCAGTGCCCAGATCACAGTTATTTTTGTTGCCTTTGCTGGAAAGTTTCCCCAAGTCATAATAATGATTACTCATAGGATATTGTAGCAAAATTCAATGCATGCGTTACAGTTAATTTCTGTTACATTATGTTATACCCTGAGAGTATATTTTGCTTGTTCTCTGCTGGAATTCTCTTGGAAATGAGAAATATCTTCTCAATGTGACTTTCTGTGAAAGTCATTTTTTTCCTGAGAAAGGAATGCTGCCTTTGGAAACTGAACCCTATTATCTGCTTTCTTAAGCCTAGCACACCAGAAGAACAATCCAGGTTTCATGAGTGTTCAGTTCAGTTGACATACCTCATGATACTGTAGGTTAATAACATTTTTGTCGGACTACATCCTTGATCTTTTGATTCATGAAAATTTATTCTAACTGCTCACAGAACTTGCAGTCATTTAGGAAAACAGAAAATCAAGTTTCTCCAGGGAGAAGCAGGGCAGTCAGTTGAAAATAAGGCAAATAGTCTATGTATGATTGTCTGTTATTGACTATTACAAGCAGGGAAATACTTGCATTCTGAAGGCTGACCGGTCTTTTGAGGTTCTTGTTCGTCTGCCTGGCCGTGCTATCTGAACGCTTCATGAAGGCAGTTTCTGGCTTGTAGAGATTGTGTAATCTTTTAGTATTGTAAGGTTGGAACCACCACTGCAGGGGTGCCAGCAAAGAGGTTTAGAGAAGATGTCTGAGCCTCAGTGGAGGCTGCTGTCACCAGTGTTTTGTGCCCCAAGAGAGTGTGACCCACAAGTTCAGGCTGGCACAGTGAGCCTGGCTGCCCTCAGGCAGCAACTAATAGTCCAGATGAGTTGAGGATGGTACCAAGGGAAAGTTCTGGGTGCTGCAGCAGCTTTCCTCTTTGTGGCTCTGTCACGCTGAAACTCACAGTGGCTGTTCCAGCAACGGTAACCTAGGAAATTCAGAAATGTTTGGGCGCACAGTGGATCTGCTTCCTAATGAATAAACAGTCTGATCTCAGAGAGACAGTTTAATTTTCAGGAGGTTTTGTAGACATAGTATGGCATGTAACCGTGGTACTAATTTGGAAAATTTTATTTGTGTACTTTGGAAAGTGATTTTCTTAATACTTTTGTGAAGCAAATCAAGAATCTCAGTCTCAGCTGATGTGTGTCAAACAAGTACTAGGTAGACTATTGTACGCAGTTAAGTGAGATTACAACATGTTTGTTTGAAGGTTTGAACTTTTGCTGTCTATCTGTAATGACTGGACCATAGTTATGTATTTGGAAACTTTTTTCTTGCAGTATAAATATAAACATATTTTAAATGGCATCAGATTGGTCCATGAATTTGTTTTTAATGCTAAAAACAAAACAAGAAGAAAACCCCAAGTAAACATGTTAACATTTAATCTTCCAGTAATGGAATTGGAAACAAAATTCTCAGCAACTTACAATAGCAGTGCTGTTCAGAGATATTTTTCTGATGCCTGTTGTGAGAAGTTAGGGTATGTAAAATAAATGATGTATGGAGCTGTAGGAATGCGACTTTTGCAGACTACCTTATGTCTAAGGAACATTAAACATAGGGTTCTCGTTTAGCAAATAAATAACCATTCATTTCAATGGCTGCATAGTCTGGACTTTTGTGCATATTTTTGCAAAGATGAGAAGAGGCCATTAGGGATTTAATATAAAATAAATC